TTTTTTTTTTTTTGCTTAAAAGCTAATTTTGTCTTTTTTTTAACAATTTTTAAATCAGAATTTTTAAGTCAGAACTATTTTCTGTGCAAAACTATTTTTCAAATCAGCTTTGTGTCACATAAAGTTGTATTGAACCTGCAAAATGCTACAGAATGTGAATGCGATGTGTGTGTGTGTGTGTGTGTGTGTGTGTAAGAGAGAAACATGATCTCCGCTGATCTGCTTCTTCAGCTTTTCTTGACCTCTGACCTTCTACTTCTGCAGATCTTCTGCTGCAGCCTGATGCCTAAAAACGTGCAACATCTCTTTGTGTGTCACGCAGCATCTAACACTCACGCTTGCTCTCGTCTTCCTGCAGAGCGTCTGGATCTGGACGACCCGCAGTGGGAGGACATTCACGTCATCACCGGAGCGCTCAAGCTGTTCTTCAGAGAGCTGCCCGAGCCGCTCGTGCCGTACGGATTCTTCCACGACGTCGTCGAGACCGTCAGTGAGTGATGACGAGAAACCCAGAGAGGAGACACCATAAAAGATTCGTTATGAGTGATTCAGTGCTTTGTGTCCTGTAGAAACCTCTGATTACCTGGATAAGGTGGACAGACTGAAGCTGCTGGTCCTCAGCATGCCTCCACACAACCTCCACACTTTAAGACACATGATACGACACCTCAGACGGTACGAACGCTCACATCACACACACACACCTCAATCTATATCTGTCTCACATCTTTTCTCTTCACTAAACTCACTTTTCTTCTTGTCTGAAGTCTCAATGTGTTTGAATCAGGGGATTTTTAATGGATGCATGAAATCAATTCTCCTCAAGTCATTTTTGTCTTGTTTTTCACACACACACACACACACACACACATACACACACGCACATATGCACACACACACATTCACACTCACACACGCACACATTCACACACACTCACACGCACATATGCACACATGCACACGCACGCACAAGCACACACACGCACACACACACGCTCAGATCACATTTAACCGTCCCTTACCACACACACACACACACAAGCACACACACACGCGCACACACACACATACACATATACACGCGTGCACATACACACACACATACACATATACACGCGTGCACACACACACCCACACAAGCACACACACACGCGCACACATATATACACGCACACACACACACATATACACACACGCACACACATATATACACGTACACACACACACACACACACAAGCACACACACACGCGCACACACACACATACACATATACACGCGTGCACATACACACACACATACACATATACACGCGTGCACACACACACACACATACACATATACACGCGTGCGCACACACACATACTAATATATAAACTACTGTATATGAATTCTTAAATCAAGATACATTTATTTGAGAAGCAAAATTACTTTAGATATTAAGTCTTGTTTTCTGACAAAAATGCATAAATAAAATAAAAAAATTAAGTGAGTTTAATACAAAAAATATCTGCAAATGGGCTCAAAAACTAAACATAATTCAAAGGGAGAACAAGATAATTTTTTTCTGACCCTATTGGCAGATATTTGCTCTTGTTTTAAGCAAAAACTCACGTGATTCTGATAGTCGTTTTGCTTTTCAAGAAAATGTATCTTGATTTAATAATGTTTAGATATTTGTACTGGAAAACAAGACAACAATACTGTAAGTAAGAACATCTTTTTTTTCATTTTCTGGAGTTCAGTAGAGGTGAAGAGAATCACGTTATCCTTCAACATCATCCACTAACTAGTGACTTTAATCATATGTAGGTTACACTTTGAATGAAAAAGCTTGCTTGTTTTGTAGAATCATGTTTTCATATTTGTGCTGTTTTTAGTGTGCCGTTCGAAACAAATCAAGTGTATCGTTTGTAAAGCAGTCGATTCATATTTTTGAAAAGCCTCCTTTCAGCCATCACCATTCTCAACCACAAAATACATTTAGTCTTCATTTTCAACTCTTGTTTTTAATTCCAAATCAAATTCTTTGGTTCAGCCATAATGAGACTCACCTTCTCACGCTCTGATTGGATCGCTCTAGTCTCCGCCCACTCGTCCTCCACCAATGAGAACACAGGAGCTCTCATTGCAGATCACATCTAAGCACTACTTTTTCTGTAGTATATGGTAATAAAGTGATCTCCCGTCTTCTCTGGATTCACCTCTACTGATATCTTGTGTAGATATAGTAGACTGGCCTGGAAGGCATCCGCCCACTCGTCCTCCACCAATGAGAACACAGGAGCTCTCATTGCAGATCACATCTAAGCACTACTTTTTTTGTAGTATATGGTGACAAAGTGATCTCCCGTCTTCTCTGGATTCATATCTTGTGTAGATATAGTAGACTGGCCTGGAAGGCAGTGAATCTTTGCTTGTGATGAAATCCAGCTCTCAGAAAGTGTTGTGATTGAGACACTAGAGGGCACCGTGAGTCTTCATCACAAACACACAGACGAGATCATCCAAACATGATGAGAAAAAGATATGACACAAAACATTTCTTATAAACCTGGATTGAGTCTATGCTGTAATACAGACAGACAATATAACATGCAAGGAAATTACGCTCTAAATAATAAAGGTGTTCATAGCCTGGTGTCACAGAGGATCTTTTAAAGTTCAAAGCAAATACAGTTCTTTTAATGTTCAATGTTCTGCTGCTTTAAAAGAATGAAGAACCTCCAACGAAGCTTCAGGAATCATCAGCAGCAACTGAAGAACCATGAAAAGGCATTAATCATGCTTGCTTGTTTCTGTCATATTTTTCTTGTTCTCTGTGATTAGTTTTGAGTGTCATTTAATTTAAAAAAAATTTTTAAATCCTTCTTCACAACCACAAAACACTTTTGTCTTCATTTTCTACTTTAGACACAAATGTCTCTTGGTCAGAAGAAGCCGAGCATAGAAAGATCACACTGAGATCTCTTTAATATCTCAGATGCTACTCTGTATTCTCAGAGTCTGTGCTCAAATCTCGAAGTCTGCGATCAAAAGTCTTGACGTGAACTCTGAGCTGCTCCACATTCGTTTTATACATTATGCTTTTATTCAAAGTGACTTGAAAGCATCTTAATATACAGAGGCAGGTTTATTAGACTACAAGTTCAAGGACCACTGAAAATGATTTTTACTGAAGATTCACATTAAAAAAGATTTTTTTTGAGTGACTGTGCATGAAGAAAAGAAAAGAAAAAGCACACGTTTCAGACCATCTTCAGTGCTAAAAACTTGAACATTAGTCAACAAGAAGTCTAAATGGAGACAGAATTATTACCAGCCACATATAGTCTTACAAACCAACTCCATCATCAAAAAAAGGGGGAAAAAAATAAAATATATAAATGTAAAAAATATTAAAATAAATAATTTTAAAATATTTTTTATGATGAAAAGTGTGCTTTTTCTTTTCTTTTCTTTATGCACAGTCACACTTTCTTTCGTTTCTTTCTTTCTTTCTGAATTAGTTTCATTACTGAATCGATGCACCCAATAAATAATTTTCATAAATAAATTGGAGCAGAACTTTTTCATGTTATTAGACTAATAACTACGCAACTAACAGCGAACGTTTTCTCCCAAAGTTATGAACAAACGTTCTTCTAGTAATGTACTAATAAACATTCATTCAAAGCCACTAATATTCTCAAAACATTAGCACAAAAACATTATTTATACATTGTTCATGGAATGTTTTTTAAATGTTACTTGTTTCAGAATGTTCAGAGAACACTCAAATGTAACATTCTCATAACCTTTGAAAAAACGATGAAATGGAATGTTTTTAAAACATTTACAAAACGGGACGTTTTGAATGTTCAGAGAGAATTCAAACGTAACGTTTTAAAGGGAACACGTGTTTGATTACGAAACGAGCTAGAGAAGAGAAGTCTCATAGATCTGTGCTTTTACTGCATGACTACTGACTCATTTCTGACTGATTCTTATTGAGGAGAAACATCTCTAAACAAAACAAACACAGAGGGCTTGAAGAACATGAAGATCTTCCTGTGGTTTGGTATCTCTGGAGGAAGTAACCCACAGGAAGCTCTTTGTTTCGCTGTTTTTAGCCGAACGCCTCATACGGTCATTAAAGGGATAGTTCACCCAAAAATTAAAATTTGATGTTTATCTGCTCACCCCCGGGGCATCCGAGATGTAGGTGACTTTGTGTCTTCAGTAGAACACATTTGATGATTTTT